CCCTCTACAGGAGGAGGCGGGAGAACCATGTGCCTCATTTAGTCTATCTTTATGATCACTTGAACAAAGTTAAGCAAGAGTTAATTCCTTATGTAGATGAGGCACTTGGTTCCCTTGCCTCCTCCTGTAGAGGGTGGTTTTTAAGAGGCCTTTTTAAACAGTTAAGTAGAGTCATCCATTGGGGATTCCCACCACTATGTCGGTCATAGCGCCGAGGTGGCAGGGCGGCTTTTGCCTGCTTTCAAGAAAGCTTTCATTTTGTCACCTGGTTACCTGTCCCGTCCGTCCTCCCCCGTCAACCGAAGTGACAATTTCCAGCAGAGGAGGATGGCCACCGTCGAGAAACAGACGGCGTCGTGTTCAGAGAAATGCGCAGAGGGATCTAACTTCTAGTCCCCCTCCGACACCCCTTCCCCGCTCTTCCTCCTCCTCCATCCTGTCGGCTCCCTTTGCAATCCTAGGGGGTCTTCCCTCCGGATGGACGGTGCGCACACACCACACCCCAGACCCTCTGCGCGATCCAGTGTTAAGCGTGTCCCCCCCATCTTCCCAAGTGCTTACAGCCCCCTTACAGGGAGGTAATGTTGGGCGGTAGGGTGCACGGAATCGCCCGGTGTTGTCACAGAGTGCGTTATCTTTGGTACAAGTGTACGAAGCCAGGCAGGCGATCTTCCCGGATCTGCTCCCTTGGACGTCCCAGCGCTATGTCCGACATAGAGGCGGGACGCCTGTATGTCGGACATAGCGCTGGGGCGGCAGGGCCCGCTTGCCTCACCAGCCATAAACCTCACCGCACGTCACTGAATTAGAATATATAGATTATATAATAGTTTGCAGTGAGGTTTTGTACTGCGTAGAAAGTTTTTAACATTCTGAATACTGTATGCATTTGTAGGAGGACCAGAAATATATGATGGTTTTTAGAAAAGTTTTTGACTATTAAGTTTCCTAACTGGATTTCCCTGATTTCCAATAATTATTATTTTAAAAGAGATAAAATCTGTAAGTCATATATTTACTAGCAGGAGTGATGAACTCTCCATGTAACTCATACGTCATTAAGGGTTCTGGCAGGCTTCTGTTAAAAGAAAAACATTGGAATAATTAAGGGGGGGAGATCATTTAACTTTACAATCAACTTTAAATACAAACATTCTAAAAAAGGGGGGACTATATATTTTATCATACTAGAATGTATTCCTTTTAATTTTGCATTGTTTACTTCGTTTACTTTCTACTTAGGATGCCTTTTATAAGAACTGGGGGGGGGGGAGGAATCATCATTCCATCAAATATTTATCTGGGTTGTATTCCATATTGCATATGAGCAAAACCTTGGAGTTTCTACCACCACAGCCAGGAAATATAAAGGTATGATTACCATACAGAGACCAATCAATTCTTTAAAGGATGTATTATTTTTTTCAAAACATAAAAGTTTGTTGTGACTATTTCCACAGATTGCACTCTGAAAATTACAATCCACTTCTTTTTCTTTTTAAACCGAAGTACTGTTGAAAAGAAAGTTAAGTAAAGGAGCTTAACCATTAACCTATCCATTAGCAGTACAACTCTCCAATCACAGGACAGGACAAACTGAGGGTGGCAGAATAAGCCAAAAGAAATATTGTATCAATAAATCAGCTGAGGCTATAAAGAAAAATGTGCCCATGCATTGCTACAGAAAGGGCAACTGTGCAGCAGCTTGACATGTTGCTGATCCCTCCCCCCAGTCTAAATTTCCTCCCAGGTCATTTCAGGTCATCTGACATGGAACAGATTTTAAAGGACTATAAAGAATTCCAGAAAATAATATTCTACATGCTTCCTAAAATTGTTTACATTTGAATTGTTCAAAAAATGTGATATTCACCATCTATTATAGTTTCAATGAAATTACAGAAATATAAAATATTTAATCGTACCTTAAGTATTGTTTCACTGTACTTGTTATTGTCTTCACTTCCCATTCTGTATTACTTTCCAAATCAACTTCATCACATGTTTTTGCATCTAGAAAATAAACACAAGCAGGTAACCTTGATCAGTTATAATTTAGATTCCAGACACTATACAGTATAACTGAGCTCATGAAAGCATCAATAAATCAAATCATAAAGTTCTGTTAATGAAAAGAATAAGCCATACTCCTGTAAGATTCTGTTTCTTATCTTCTATGTATAGAGAAGTAGAAACCAGAAGGTAGTGGGAGAATTGTACAAGTACAGAAAAGACCATTTCAAAAATCAAACTTGCACCTATTGTCTATTGTGGTCTCTCTGCATTATGAATGGGGTTCTATTATATTTGGGTATAAGATACTTATATTCTGAGACAAATGGCACTCATTAATACAGAATGAAAAGCAATAATTAAAAAAGTAACATTTTGAAGTCAAACATTTAATATACAATGCTAAATGCTCCCTTGTGTGGAAAAGATACAGGATTGCAGAAATCAAACTAGTTTGTAGAGTGACTTCTTGTGGACTCTATGGTTTTGACTCTATGGTTACAATAAATTTTGTCAATGAAATTAATATATATTGATTGATATTATTGATACATCTCTTTTATCCATCAGACAAAAGAGAGATCTTTTCCTCAAATCAGAACAGTAGATAAATATATATTGTATACTGCAAAATGACTTTCTTGCAGGCATAAAATTCCAAGATTCAGTGGCCAGACACTAAGATCCAAATAGAGTGTAGATAAAAAGACACTAAGGTGTTCTGTCCCCCCTTCTCCGCTCGTTAAACAGACGACAGGCAAATAACTTAAAAGGAACTCTCTTTATCAGTTCTCGGCTCAGAATGGCTGTGAGCCCAAAAATAACATAAATAGTCTCTGACGAGATAACAGAATCCCAAACAAAAACTCTTACAACACAATGCACTTCTCCAAGTGTATCCTTGAATCAGGGTTACAGAAAACAAAGCACTTCT